GGAAAACCACTGATATTTAATGTTTGTCGAGCCCTTTACAATTCAACAAACTTTACCTCAAGCATGCTTCTTAAAATAACACTGTAGAGTAGCTAAAATAGTTTCAGCATTTTGCAAATGAAACTGTAGCCCAAAATAATGTGAGGATTTGCTCAAAGTCATAGCGAACAAGGATAGATCCAATTTTAGCGCTTAGCTCTTTTGAATTTCACAAATTAACATGTTAGGCATTCTGCGAAGAACAGGGCCAATGGCTATTACTCGTAAGCAATGGCCTGAAGGAAAGGTATCTTTACAGTTCAGGTGATGACAGGGAGGAGGACCAACGCATCCACACACTTCCTATCAGGTGAGTCACAGCTGTTTGTACTTGGAACTCTCAGAGACCACAGCAAAATGCACTAATCTGTTTTGGCCTGAGTTCGCTGTTATGAAGGATCAGCTTCAGGAAACACATATTTTAACCTTCACCGACTGACATAGGGATGAATCATCCCTTTTGGTAGTTCTCTTCTCCATTTTACAAGTTATTTATTTGAAGCCCAATTATATAAAGCAGAAAACACACACATATGCACATATGCAACACACAGTACATATATATATGTGTGTGTGTGTAGGTGTATACTATATATGGTACATATTTGTATGTACATATGTATATATGAACTTATATATTCCATACTTACTGCACCATACACACACACACACACACACACACACACACACACACACACACACACACACACACAAACACGTATGAACACAAAAGACAATTTTCATGTGTCTCAGATTGGTAGACTATGTTTCTTGGTTCATAAATGACAACACATGCATTCTTTGACAAAGTGTATATACAATGTCATATTCCTAGATGATATGTATGTTATACTATAATAAACGATGTCATTGGAAACGGATGACCCTTAATGTATTAGTAGTAATTAGTAGATTTTGAAGACCTCTGTTGATATAGCTACAAAGAAAGAAAGCCTCATAATTGTTACTAACTCGCCCCATATACCACTGAAGTTTGTTTCCAAATAATGAATTATAAGTAGGAGAAAAATCACATGTTGTGTAAGGAATTTGTTTGAGTGTTGATGCTTTCTTCCTGAATGTAGGCGGTCCAGATGCCTCATGTAAGAGAAACCATTTTCCTTGAAACTTGCACAAAATCTTTACATTATCAGTAAGTAATCACATCCTCTGTCATAGTTTTTTTTTTCTTCTTCTTCTCTTTGGTGTAGAAACAGAGAAGTGAATAAGATCTAGAATCTGGAATCAAAGATTCTTTACTTAAATACTTAGTCTCTGGAAATTCTTGATGCTTACTCCATATATTTTACATTTAAATGGAAAAATGTTATTAGCATATGACCTATTATAATATCCTGCCACCACCAGGGAGGTTTAGGATCTTGAAATAATACAAGTTCAACTCAAAATATTTAGAGTGACATTTTGGGGAGCTTCTGCATTTTATTATATCTAGCCTATATGGTCATACATGCATGTACATATGCTATCCACAAAGGAATTTTATGAGCAGATAAATGATAACATAATACATCATACAACTTATACAGTTATATGGAATCTAGTGTTTCATACTCATCTTTCCTTGCACATACTATTTACATTACACATATGGTCCATGGTACCATTAAAGTGAAATTTTTGAATTTTGGTTTAGAACACTATGTATTTTCATTTTATCTTGATTTATCACAGCTACATGGCTTTAATGCATGAAGATCCAGCAGGAAGTGTACCTTTGGGTGTGTCTGTGTGAAAGTTTAGCAGCTTTCTAGAAGCCATATTGGAAACTCACCCTGTAGTTGATGGACAACCTGTTCTTACTGGGGTGGAACTGTGGTAGGCAGACTCTATTCAGAAAGCCATCTGAGGTTGCATCCTGAAAGAACGTCTATGGATAAATGTGTCATACACTTTTCTATACATGCAAATATAAATACTGATAGGTCCTGCTGGTGCTATTGATCTGTGTGTCACACTTTGATTCTGGAGCTTCCAAAAAGCAACATGGTCAGCTATGTATACCTCAGGTGGGTCATTTCTCTTTCTCTCAGGTTTTGCCACCAAAAATCTGTAGTTTTCTTTTTGTTTTCAAAAAGATAGAGATTCCAGAGCAAGTCGGCAAGACTAATGTGTACTCTCCTATCATGATCCACTATTATACCAAGACTCATAACTAGATAAAGATAAGCATCAATTGTCTAAAGACACTCTTGTTTCATGGAAGTAAGGCAGTGAAGGTAAATGTTTTGGGAACAAGTTGGCAAAACTCCTGTCACTGGACCACCAGAATTACAAGCCTCCCTTGTCTCCTATTGCCATTTCAAATTATTCAGGGCTTCAGACTAATAGAGGACTTTTTTTTCTTTTCTTGCCATTTCACTTTCTCAGTGCCAAACATCTACTGTGGCTTCCAATGAATCAAGTTCTCCTTCCTCTCTTCCCCCTAGAAGCTCACACTCCCAGCAAAATGTCACAAACAAAGTGGAAGCATGCCTTTCCCAGGCTAGACTTCCAAACAGAAAGTCAGAAGACCATTCTTCACCGGGAAACTGACCCACAAAGCTTACTGGATTCAGTTGAAGAGATTTAAGAGAAGGTCAGCTAAGGAAACAAAAGCAACTCTCACCATAGTACTTCTGATAGAGCTCTACCAACTCAAAAATGAAGTTTTGTCCAAGGCAGACAATTAAAAAGAGGTCATGTTTAGTGAGGGCTGGGAGGTATAGATTCCTGTTGATGATCTATTTGTATGCTTTCTTTGTGTATCGTCTCTTTTCCAGGAAAGAACTGGACTTTTTGCTTATAAACCCATTTCCATAATAAAGTATAATGGATAAAAATTACTCCATTTCTTTTAAGCCACAGACATAGAGAAATGCAAGTATACTGTAAGTTGACATTTATATAATCAGACTACATATCCTACATGGAGAGGTCTACAAGTATGCTACATGAAAGTATAGTATACCCGCAGAATACAGGAAAGCAGAAGCATACTATTATTGTGCTGAATTAACATATAAGTTTATCTAACTCTTTCATATCTATAGATTAGGATAGTGGCAATATTGACTTAGATCTTACAAAGTTCATAAACATTTACATAGAAACTGGTACAGAGTCGGCGCACATCTTTCATATTCAGCCTTATGGTGAAAATTGTATTTCTAGGGATAACATAAATTTCTATAGATTGCTTCATTAAAGGGTTAATGATCTTAGGCGATCTGGATGTTAGCAGATGAGGTGGCACGCTTGTGTGTTTGCAAAAACATTTTCTGCATTACATCTAAATCCCTTGCAAACAGATAAATTACTCTATAAATCTTATTGCTCCATGTGGATAAATCACCCACACAGGTTTACAAGATTGGAAAGCTACAAGGGAAAATTTACTTTGGATTGTAGGGTCTTTGGGATTCATAATCACCCAGTGTTCAGGAAATGAAGAAAGAATTACTTAGACATTCACATTCTCTTACTTTTTACTATCTGGAAAAATATATACATGCAATACATACTCAGCACACACACACACACACACACACACACACACACATTCACATAAGACACCACACACACATGCTCCTCCCTAACAAGACTAGAGATCCCAAAGCAGGACACTCTGTGACAGCCAACCAAATTTATTTCTGAGAACAGAAAAGAAAACTTTGCTGTTGTCGGCAGCTCTGCTATAGAACAGCTCCCTGATGCCCCAGGGTTTCTGCAGTATCAGCTCCTTCCACACAGATTAGAGGTTTATTTTCTATTGCATACTATTCTTTTTATGGCTATAACTAGAAATATTAGCTAGATAGACAGACCCAACACTGGGTCCTTTTATTTGGAGGAAATGAGATTTTAAAAGATCTCTAAGGACAGTGTTTTCTTTCTTTTATTTATTTTTTATCACTAGCAGAATTTCAAGTCAATCCTAAAAGGCAAAGGTAGAAAAGAGGAAGAGAGAAGGAAAACACAAGAAAAGAAGCTTGGAGCTTTTTAGAGATAAATAATACTTAGGTGCCATTTGGGTCCCTTCTAGGGGTCAAACTCCCAAGGACTATGACTCTCCTTTTCTAAATTTCTATCCCCAAATTATATTTCAGAGGTTGGCAGAGCTACACAGAGATACGACTTTTAAGTCAATAATCAATTCGAAATATCCATGTTATGTCAGGTTAATTCTTTCCCAGTCTCTGTGCTTAATAGTCCTATTCTTCAATGCTCGTGATTGGGCAAGAAAGATCCTTTTTTTCTTCCTCTCTTCATTCTTGTGTTGATTTCTATCCACAGTCCAGAAGCTCAGTAACCAAAGTTCTAACATTGATTTATTGCCCTAGATGTCAATTAGAAGATCTTTACAGACAGTCCTCTATCAAAACTATTGCTAGGGCTGACTGAGAGCCTTGATGTACATACATCACACACACACACACACACACACACACACACACACACAGGGAGGCAGGAAGAACACATCCATGTGTACCACTCTTTGAGAGCCATAATTTAACAACTCTTTTCTTAGATTAAGAAACCTCCACAAAACTCTGAAGTGCCAAGCATCACCAATTACAAAATCAAGAATACTGCTCCAATGCTACTAATGTGTGTGTGTGTGTATGTGCGGCGGGAGGTCAGGGAAGTGGGGGAGGAAGGGTGAAGTCCAGCATCCATGATAAGAAAAACAGTGTGCAAAGAACTAAACAACATTCCATTAGCATCCCAGGATATTGAAAAGGACCAGAATTCCCTTCAATTTTGTTGGATGCTGTGCGTTCTACTCAGTAAAAGCAACACACACACACACACACACACACACACACACACACCCTGCAGCAGTACCAAAGGAGCAGAAGTTCAAGGACCTCAGCTTGCACACACACACACACACACACACAGAGACCACAGACACACAGACACGCACACACCAGAAAAGTTGTCCGAAAAGCCCCTACCTGAGGATGGCCGTGTCCCCCTGTCTCACGGTGATGTTGTCGGTGCCTCGGTTAAAATCCACGCTGCGAACGGGCAGTCCTGTGGGAAGAAGGCAGAGCAATCTCAGTAGGACCAGCGGCAACTGTTTCCGATCAGGCTGAACTCTCCCAACCATCGTGGCCAAGCCGAGTTGCAGGTCCGAGGTGCACTCCGGAGGGCGTGTGTGCACACGCGGCTGGCTGGAGAGAAGGCTTTACCAACCCCGGGCTGGCATGCACAGCCCAGGGAAACTCGGATTTGCCCCGTTGGTGGAACTCTTCTTTCCTTCGCTCAGTCTCTTTCCCTTCTAAGACTTAACAAAAGCCCTCAGAAAACCCACACAGGGGTCGAGGAGGAAAAGTCGCAGGAACAACAACAACAAACAAACAAAACCAAACAAAAATAAAAAGGGAGAGCTACAAAATAGAAAAAGCCCTCTAGAAAAGGTGAAGAAGACAAGACTGTCCAAGGCAGAGAGGTATTTCCCCTGGACGCTCTAGCTTGACGCTCCCCTGCCAGTGTGTGAGCTGAGCTCCTCTCTGTAACCCACTTTCCTTCCCAGGCTGGTGAGCTAGCGAGCCAGCACCGAGCCTGCCAGTGAGTGTAAAGAAACAGCCTAGCAGCAGCAGCAGCAGCAGCAACCCAGCGGCTCTTTCCCCCTCCTCCCTTCTCTGCTTCTCCTTCCAGTCTCTGACTCTCTCTCCACTCAGCACCTCCCCCCCTCCCTCTTACCCTGCTGGGTTTCAACAGCCCCACCACGTCATCCCCCTCTTCCCTCCCCTTGGCGTGGCCCCTTGCTTCGCACAACTGCCCCCTTCAACAGCAGCCAGCTCAATGAAAGCCTGATGCGCCTTTGGGTTGTCAGGACAACAGCTCCATCTGAGGCCTGGCTGATTTCCTTAAGAAGAGGGAATGGAACTCAGAGGTACTGTTCAAGACCAGGGAGAAGGGAAAAGGACTTTGGTTATAAAAGGACAGGAGAAAGAGTCCAGGAATCGATGAGAAAAAGAAGGGAAAATGAATGAGAAAGAGAAATGCAAACTGACAAATGGAGGGAGTGAAACAGAAAGGAGAGGAAGGCAAGGGGGGGTGGGAGGGCGGGAATCAGACCCAGAAAGATGAAGGAGTGTGAAACACAAGAAACTTGACTGTGGAGTAGTGATTAAAAGCCAACGTTGAATTCCAATGAAATCTTCCTTTCCAGAACTCACATCATGTTTATTTTTTTCTCCCTCTTGCACTTTCTGTTATAGAATTTTAAAAAAAAAGGTTTATTTTCTCTCCCTCTTTCATCCCCTCCCCCTCTTGAAACCCCCTTATGAAAGATGGATGGGATACAATGCTGGTATTGAGTGGTCTGGGTGTGAATGCTTGGCTTGTCTTTTCCAAGTGCCAGCCTCAGCAGCTGATCCCCAATCCCTAAATCAACCTCACTCTCCAGGAAACCCTCAGTCCCATACATTAGTAATGGTATTAAGGATGATTGTTTAATTGGCACATTACTGCTTCTACACAAGTTTCTACTGGCATTTGCTTCTCACAATGTTCCTATGCAAGGAAGTAGATTGGTATATCAGAAGGCTTGTTATTTCTAGGGAGATCCAAGGCTTTCTACAGTGCTCTAATGAATACCAGACAGTTACCATCATTTGTCACTATTGCTCCAATAAGCTAAGTCAGCGAAGAGGTCCAAAAGAGCTAGTACTGTTATGAACCTCTTAAGTCAGAGACCCAAACAACCAGACATGGGGACAAAAGATAGAGTTGGACCAAAACATCTCTTTCCTTCTTTTAAATTTCCTTTCCTTGAAGACTTCATATAAGAAAATATTCACAGAATACAAGATGCCAATGGTACAGAATGCCGTAGGATGAATTACAGTCATCTACTTATTTCTATCTTTAGGTAAGCATTTTCCTAATCTGGAGACAACAAATATGGCTAATTTCTCATACATATAAGAAGGCAAAGGAAGAAGCATAAGGAATGGGAAATTGAAGTTCCTTTAGGCTCTGAACAAGAGAATCTGCCTTCAGACCCTAAGACAGAATCACACATGCTTTCCTTTTGGGTTTGACACCAGCAAATCTTAAGGTTTAAAGTGTTTTCTGAAATCTAGAATTAGTTTATAAACACATAAGTAAATATATTTATTGAGTGTATTCCACTATATACAAATATATTAACTGAAATAAGGTAAACTAAGGGGAAACAAAGATTGCAATCCCTTACAAAGGCAAAAATCAAAGTTTAACAAAATACAAAAATGGAATGGGTACCTAGAAAGAGTGGGGTAGAGTTGAAAATAAGAAATGGTGGAAAAGAGTCAACAATTCAATATATGCTGGGCGCTGGTGGCTCATGCCTGTAAACCTACCTACTCAGGAGACTGAGATCTGAGGATCCTGATTCAAAGCCAGCCCAGGCAGGAAAATCTGTGAGACTCTTATCTCCAATTAACCACCAGAAAACAGGAAGTAGCTCTCTGGCTCAAGTGGTAGAGAGCTAGTCTTGAACGAAAGAGCTGAGGGACAACACCAGGCCCAGAGTTCAGGCCTCATGAGTGACAAAAATAAATAAATAAATAAATAAATAAATATAATGTATATCTTACAAAATTTAGAAAAGTGAGGGATGGATAAAAATGTTAAAACAGGTAATACAGATCAAGACATATAAAATGTTTTGTGGAATGACAACTCCTTTGTACAACTACTTAAAGATAATAAAATTTAAATGAACAAAATAATAAAGTGTTTCCTCAATGGTAGCAAAGAAAGCCCCCAAAATTTGCATAGACAGCTTTAAACTCAACCAGACTTTAAGTGACTCCTGGAATCCCCTTCTACAAATATGAATGGAGGGAAGTCCAGAGGTGAAGCATCTATTTTCTGCCTCTCTCCTGGGCCATTTTCTGGCTACAAATATTCCACTTTCAAAAACTACACCCACACCCATCCACACCCATACCCATCCACACCCACACGCATAGATGTACACAAAATTTAACACAAAGCTAATATGGTTACTCTTCTTAGTTACACAAATCACTAGCCCAAGTATTTTCAAAATGAATAAAAGTAATGTGCTTGGGAATCCTTGTCAAACCTGAGCAGAGCACAAGCTCTAAGGAGTACTTAGTGTGCTGACACCTGGCTTGTCCCCCAGATTCTTCAAAGTATTTCTTTGTAGAATTGTTATCAGCTTAAAGGTAGATGATATCTTAAAGATTATGTGATGAGAAGAAGGAAGACCTTTTGTCATTGAAGAAAAGACTTTGATGGACTGGAATCTGAGTTGTCACAAATGCGAGGTTTATAAAGTCAATTAATTTTATTTGAATGGTGAATTCATTTTATATAAATCAAGATGTACTCTGTCAGGGCTAATCAGCAGTGCCAGCTAAGAAGACACTGATGTTCTACTACAAAACCATAACTTAAACTAAGCAGTTAAAATGTGTGGCCCATTTTGCCATAGGAAAAGATGATTAGATTAAGTGGGTATTTGCAACAGTCTCAATCTTGATGGTTAAATGAATGTTAATGTCAGTGGGGGGGGATATAGTATAGGGTGGAGAGGGTTGCAATGATTATGTTATCATGCTATATTATATGTGAGCACTATATTATATTAACTGCTACCATTCTTACTAGACTTCTGAGCTCTTGTATACTCAAAGCCATTGTTATAGCCTATATTGTGCTAAGAGACAGAAAAAATAATAGAAGAGTTAGGGTTCTACTAGATGATATTTTTCCATTGATGCTAGTAGACGGATAGTTTGATCTTAAGTGTTATCCTAGCTATTGGGAAAAGAAGATTAGACATACCTAGAATGTGAGCACCCATTTATACCAGAGGGCTTGGATGGACAAAGAAGGAGGTTTTATCCAAGGAAAAAACAAGTATGGATGGAGTAATAGCATATTATTTGCAGAAAATGTACACATGACTGTTTACTAATACCTGTACCTATATTCTCAGGCTACTGGTAGAATAATTCACAACAGAGGCATTGAAATGAAGAATTTGTAGTAAATCAATCACATCCAGAGTTTGTCTGTACAATCACTATGAGGAAAAGCATAGTATTTAGTTAATCAAGACTGTAATCAGAATTGTAATGGAAATGCTTAACCTACTTAAGAAGAGAAAATCACAAGTATTTGTATAGAAATAATCAAAAAGATTAGTTAAAGGTATTTTCAATATCTTCATTAAACCAAGTCCAGTTCTAGACAACTTTTGACTTACTATGAGCATATAAATAAACGTTAAAAAGGGCAATAATTCAAGCTGCTCAGTCAATCAGTCTAATCAAATTAGAATAGATGCCTGAACAATTTCAAGCTCTTGATGTCTATCATATGTTATTAATGTAGTAGTGTTTATACCTAACTAGCATTTCAAGTACCACTCATTAACCTAAAACTTTGCCCAAAAGGAAAAGATTCTGATTGATCAATATGAGGATGGAGGAAAGATGATTGAATGCCCAAGTCAACTGATCTGATTACCTCATCATTTACAAAGCACTAAGTCAATTAGTAGGTATACTATCATCATTTTCCATAGTATGGCTTCTCAGAGTTTTCTCTTTATACTCTTTTCATAATCCTGTTTTTTTCTCCTCTTTTATAGTCTCCCTTTTTTAATAAATTCAATAGTCCATAAAATTGGATAATGTATCAAATCCTCACAGTCATTCTTCCCAAACTATGCTGATATTAACTTTTTTACTTCCATTCCTTAGAACTGTAGAGAGGAAAATAAACAGATATGTTTTTGAAATGTACAATGCTATTTTTCTAGAATCCACTATATACATTTTTCCCAAAAGGTTGACAAAAATGAACATACTTTTGGGTTATTTGTGAGGCAAGTATGGCTGTTAGCCATGTGAAACAGCCATCATCACCCAAGTAAGATGATGTTAACTACTACTTTAAAATAACATACTGCCTTTCTAAAAGAGGCTGTAGGAGATTCTGGTGTTCTCCGGGGACAAATACTGCAAGAGAAAACAAAAACTGACTAACATTTGAGTAGCCTGAGAAACATGAAAGGTTTATTCCTCCCCTTAGCTTTTTACGGTAATAGGTTCACATAAAATCCAGAAGTAGACTGGAATG